ACTTTTTAGAAACTGGAGAAAATGTTTCTTTGTAATCTATTCTTCCTTTTGTGTGAACCCTTGGCAACAAGTTAGCCTTGTATCTCTCAATTTTGCCTAATGAATCCTTCTTGGTTTTAAATACCCATTTAAAACCAATAGGTTTCTTTCCAGTAGGCAAGTCAACAAGGTCCCAAACTGTATTATCCGCCATAGAATTCATCTCGTCAATCATGGCATTATACCACAACTCAGATTACTACCGTTCATAGCTTGTAAAAATGTGTCTGGATCATCCTCAGTACCTATGTCATAGTCAGACTCTTGCATATCACTTCATAATCAGTAGGAATTGCTGATTTCTTTGTTCTAGTAGATCTCCTTAAGTGTTTGTATCAGCAGTCTCTTGAGACTGTTGCACAACTGGTTGTTCCACTTGTATTGGAGGTTGTTCAAAATGATCTCTAAACAAATCGCATCAGAATGTGGATTTGATTGAGTGGTTCCCTATTATTCACCCTGTTTGGATGAACAACCAATCTTTTACTTGATGTAGGAGCATTGTCTGAAACATCAATTTTCTCAGAGACTGAGTCTCTGAGTTGATCACTCCCACTAACCAATCATTTTCAAGAAATTTGGCATTTCTTGATTCAACAATTCTACTGGATGGTTAGGACAATAAAACTTATATCCTTGAGTTTTCTGCATATCCATAAAATATGCACTAATAGTCCTAGGATCTAACTTCCGTTCTTGTGGATTATAAACTCTAAACTCAACTGGGCAACCCCAGATGCGTAAATGACTTAAACTTGGTTTCAAATTTCCATAATTCGAATGGCGTTTGGGAACCGCCTTTGTTGGAACTCGGTTTAATATATACGCTGCAGTTTTCAGAGCTTCAATCCACAAAGAATGAGGAAGTTGGGATTACTCAGCATACTCCGTACCATATCCATTAATGTTCTATTTCTCCGTTCTGCTACACCATTCTGAGATGGTGTGCCAGGAAGGTGTACTGAGCCACAATACCTTGCTCTTGAAGAAATTTAGCAAATGGACCAAGTGCTTGTCTCTATACCAGTGTATCTACCATAATATTCACCACCTCTATCGATCTCACGATCTTAATTTGTTCCACATTGTTTCTCTACTTCTGCTTATATATATTGTGAAGCATCCAACGCTTCATCCTGTTGATAAAGCATATAGAGATACATATATGTGAGTAATCATCAATAAAGGTGATGAAATATTTCTGACTACTAGAGCTATGTCAGGGCAACAAATATATCTGTGGTATGATTTCTAAAAGTTCAGAACTCTTCTTGGCACCCTTCTTGGATTTGTTAGTCTGCTTTCCCTAATGCAGTCTACACAAGTATCAAAGCAGTAAAGTCAAGAGTTTCAAGAACTCCAGCATTACCAACCTTTTATCCTATCAATGGGAGTGTTCCTAATCTCCTATGCCACAAGAGGGAAGAGTTTCATACATAATAGTACGTTTCATACCAGTGTTAGCAGTGAAGTCATAAGACTATAAGGAACAGTATCTAAATGAATTTTAAACAAACCATCAACAAAGTACCATTTCCAACAATAGATGAGTTCTTAATAAATTAAAAGAACTACCATAAAAGTTGAAAGAGTATCCACATGGTACAAGTTTAGAAACTGAAATTAAATCCTAGAAAAACTAGGAATATAAAAGGTCGTTCCAAATTCAAAACATAATTAGTACTTAAAATAAGTCTAAAAGTTCCAACAGCTTCAACACTGAAGGCATCCTGTTTCCTGAATAGATGCTGCATTCACTTCCCAATGGCTTCCTTGATCCAGAAAACCCTGTATGGTATTAGAAACATGGATTGTAGAACCAGAATCAATCCACCAATATTATGTGAAACACAAATCATATTAGATTCATAACACACAGAGATAAGAGGTTACCTTTCTATCAAGCCAGGCTTTTCTTTAGGACAACTTCTTCATGTGTCCCGTCTTTTTACAGAAGAAACACTTGATATGTCCTTATTACTTTGCATAACCTCATGCAGCTTGCCTTTCCCTTCCACTTCTTATTCTTATTTGAAGCGTACTTGACATTTCCTGTCACCAGATGTGTGTTTCATTCACTTCCTGAAGTAGTCTCTCCTCCTCTGAACACACATGGTCAAAAGCTCATTGATTGACCATTTATCCTTCTGTGTGTTGTAAGATATCTTGAGAAGGAGTATAATGAGATGAGGAGAGAGTTCAGGACATAATGCACCAGGAAATCATCATTAATCAACATCTCAAGGGATTTCAACTGAGCAGCTATGTCCCATTTTCATAATATGCTCACGGAACTCCTTTAATACCAGTCAACTTCATGGATGTCAATCTACTCATTAGGACGCTTCTCTAATGCTTTTCTGATGTTTCAAAATGTGCATGAATTGCCTCCATAAGATCTTGACATTTTCACACTCGGTATCGACCCAGGATACTACGTAATGTGAGATTTGATGAACATCATGCTTAAACGGTTAGATCGCTCCCACCGTCATACAAAGCAATCTCAGCTTGAGAGCTAGTATCTGTAGGTGTTGGTGGCTCTTCCTTACGAAGAGCATAGTCAAGACTATGCCACCTAAAGAAGGAGGAAGCCCTCTCTCAGGATTTGTAGTTATCACCATTTAAATTAGGAACCTTATCCTCAACCATCATCAAAGTTTGATCAACTGTAGGTAATTCAATAGACATGCTTACTAATAATTATGAGGCACAACCATCAATAAAAATTTATAAGTTTACCAATGTAAAACAAATAATAAATCATAAATGAATCGATATATCATAATCTCCCTGTGGGTAAAGACATTACATATTATGATTCATATCCTTTAATGATGAAATAGAATTATTAATTTTCATAATGCCTGTGGGCTAATTAAGAAATAAGAATAATTTTATTTTCATCAATTAATCATAAAAATATAACATTCCCTGTGGGTAAAAGATATATACTAATATGATTAACTACAACCGAGTTATTAACCTTAATATGATCACACAACTAATATTTCTTAATGCATATATTATCATAATTTAGATGTGCGGCTACTCTAAATTAATCAAAAATATATACGATCATTAAAAACAATAATTTATAACATGAATTTGTATAATATAAAACAACAATGCAAGAATAATACATTATTATGCATAACAAGTAATATATAACATAAAAACCATCATACAAAGCTGTCACTGATTCCACGCGCCACCGTGACCAGAGGACGCGCCCCCACGCGCCGCCCAGAAGCGCACACTCTCTCACGCGCCCCCAGGCCTCCACGTCTCCTCACGCGCCTCCACGCGCTTACACGCGCCTGCACGCGCCCAACCCTAAACCTCACGCGCCTGAAGCAAGCCGAGTCCTGCACGGCTCCACGCGCCGGGTCTGACCCGGGTGGGTGACCGATTGACCGGGTCGGTTGACCCGTTTGACCTGTTGACGGTTTGTTGACGGTTTGACCGCTTGATCGGTCCATTGACGGTCTGGGTTGTTGTCGGGTCGGGTTGCCTGACGGTTGGGTTGAGGACTGGGTCGTTTGACCGGATTGACTTTTGACTTTGACCGGGTCGTTTTGACCCGTTTTCCTATTGGGTCGGTTTTTTGACGCCGATTTTCTGCAATTTTACCGGATTTTCCAGATTTTCAACAGCCCGTTTCCGGCCATTTTCCGGGTTTTCGATGGGAAACTCAAATGTGGACTTATACAATAATCAGTGACATCCCAAATGACAATTTCGTCTAAATAGATGCCATAAATGGCTTCCGAAAAAAACCCAAACAATAACTACCAACCAAAACTTTAAACTAGCATAACTTTACATCCAGAACTCGTTTTTGACAAATATATACCGTTGGAAAGCTTTTTCAACAAGGATTCCAATGACATCAAAATCGAAAACAAATTTATTTATAATAAAAGTTATGCTTGATTTACAGTACGGGTTTTAATGGAAAAATCCTAATTTTAGCAATATTTTTCAGATTGCAACAAATAACTTTATGCTAGGCAGAGATTTATATAAAGCTCTGATACCAAAAGTAAAACACATATTCATATTCCAATATTCATTTACAATACAATCAATTTCAGATTAAAAACTCCATGGAAAATATGCGGAAATAAATGACAAACCTCCAGCCATAGCAATTACTTCTTTGATCTTCTTACTCCTTTATGAATTACAGACTTCACACTTGACTGCAAATTTGGGTGATGGTTTTGGGAATCAAAAATGCATCGAATGGGGACTGTTAATTCTTCTTCTTATATGCAGTGTCTTTCCATCAAAGAAACTGCCAGAGACACACCGTATGACCACATCAACAGGGACCAAAATGTATTAAGGAGAAGTGCAGGACCATATTGCAAAAGTCTAACAATTTAAACCAAATTTTTCCTCATTAATGTGTGAACATGATTAGATTTCAGATCTATCATACATCAATAGAAGAAAATAAAAATCACATAAGCATTGAAAGAAGAAGTTCTATTACAAGTTAAAACTCTCTTCATTCAGATTCCATTCATAAGATAAGCAGATTAGGCCCTTTCACATGGTCTACCCATTATTTAAAAATCTTAAATATAACTCTTGAATTAGAATTGAATATTTAGTTAGGACCACATTAATGAATTAATTACATCTAAAGAAGGTTATGAAAATATTATATAAACTTACATCAATGTATTTGTCACTAATTTTAGAGGGTTTTCTTTAATTTGTTATTTTCTTTCTTGTCTTTTGTTATATTATTCTTATTCTCTTACTTTATTGCTGTTCTTTTGTAAATAATTACATATGTTACATCACTCCATTATTAGTTGTTTGATTGCCCAATCTCTTATGTACAAGTAGATACCATCCACTATATATAAATTGTGTTGAACTACACGCTTTCACTCACTACCAACGTTTCTTTGTGTAAACAAATCTCCATTGGAGAAAAAAATAGAATCCCTTGGAGAGAAAGAAGAAGAGCTAAGCAATGAGATTGAACAACTCTTAGCCATGCTTCCGAAGGCGAAAAATTGGAATGGTGTTGAACTCTGTCAATACCAAGGGTTCTGGTGTCAATCTAAGTACCTTTGCGGCATGATCAGGTTTCAAAGACACTTCGAAGCTCAAGACAGTGACATAATATTAACCACTTTTCCGAAATGCGGCACCACTTGGCTCAAAGCCCTAATTTTCACCATTGCCAATCGTTCCAAATATTCACTAAAGAATAGCCCCTTGCTCTCTCAAGGCCCTCATGAGTTGGTTCTTTATCTTGATTATGATCTTTTTATGAGAGATCCTCTTCCTGCTCTTGAAGACTTTCCTAAGCCAAGGATTTTTGCGACACATACCCCATATCCTTCACTTCCAAATTCTATTAAGAATTCCAATTGTCGCATTGTTTACATATGTAGAAATCCTTTGGACCAGTTTGTCTCCCATTGGAAGTTCATGGTGAGAGTGAGAGTTCGAAACACCGAGCCAATTTCGATTGACGAAGCTTTTGAGATGGCTTGTCAAGGAAGGCAAGAATTTGGCCCCATTTGGGAACAGGTTTTGGCATATTGGAAGGCTAGCAAAGAAGAACCACACAAGGTATTATTCTTGAAATATGAAGATTTGAAAGAGAACAACAAATTTTATGTAAAAAAATTGGCCGATTTCATCGGATATCCGTTCACTGAAGATGAAGAAAAGCAAGGAAAAATAGAAGAAATTTCCAAGTTCTGTAGCTTTGATAACATGAGCAATTTGGAGGTGAACAAGAATGGTGCACACCCCACTGGGCTTAAGAATGATATCTTCTTTAGGAAAGGTTTGGTGGGAGATTGGAAAAATTATTTGACAACTTCAATGTCCGAACGTTTGGGGAAAATAATTGAAGAAAAATTGAGTGGCTCGGGTTTAACCTTTAAGAAAACCTAGCTTTAAAAACCCTGGAAGATCCATAAGCTATAGAATCCATATTGTTGCATCAGATAGCTTTGCTTTGTTATGGTTGTGTGCTGCTTTCTCTTTGATGTGATGAAGTGTGAATAAATTTGATGTAGATAATCTTATTTTGTACCCAAAATGTATTGAGAATGAATAAACAACTTTGTTTTATTATCTCTCTTATTAATTGGATGATCAAATCATATCCATATATATAGTCCATTTTTCTTGCAAATATCCTAATTTAAAAAAAAATGCAGACTTGAACTCTCACTTGCAAGAGTTAATTGATCAATGCCAGAGTTTGCAGGCTTTTGTCTTTTAGCATTAGAAAATAAAAATTCCAAAACTCTTATCAACTCTCGTATGCAAAAATTAACAATTGATCACAAGAGTTTAAATCTGGATTTTAAGTTGGTATTTGAGAATTTTCGTGTGTGATATATAATATCTTTTGATGATTATGTATGATATTTATTCTTCTCTTCTCATAAGCTTCATGGTTTAACGCCATGTAATTTCAAGGTTTTTCAAATGATACATTGACATTGTGCAAAATCAAAATCGAAAAATGATATATTGACATTGTGCAAAATCGAAATCGAAAAAAAGAAAAAAAAAAACGAAAAAATTAAGTAATACGATAAATTGAAAGATTGTCACAGTCATGAAGAACTAAAAACTTAATTTGCAAAGGAGGTTCATCCCACCATTGAAGAATTGAAAACTGCAATACAAGGTTTGCTAATACGTTGCATGATAGATCGACAATTATTCCAAAGTTCTCGTGGAGGTTGGGAGATGGCATCAATTAATTGCTTATAATATCATTTGTTTCTTATTCAAAAAAAATCTGGCACCAGATTCTCCAACAATATGTTCATATATCGAGATGTATATATATATATATATATATATACTACTTCTCTAATATTTATATATGAGTCACGAGATCACTAAGTCCTAACAATGTGTTTGGTAACGGACGCATGACGCAATTTTCTTATTTATTTTTCATTAATCATTTTACTATTAGGTTACATCACTATATTTTGTCATTAACTCAAGGAGGATTCTCTTTTATTATTTCCTTGCTGGTCTTTTCTTATATTATTCTTATTGTCTTATTGTAGATGCTAAAATTCTATGGTCACGGAACAAACTGTTCTTGTGAGATTGAGACCACTAACAATCTGTTAGACCTGCATATACAAAGTAACAAGCGTGAAGCTTACGGGAAACACTGAGGTGGTATTTATCTTAGGCACTGCAACGTTCAAGTTAGCAAGATTGAAAGAAACTATTTAGTCAAGGTTAAGGGAAAGAAGGATTACTAGGAGTTTTGTTTGAGACTAGAATTATGGCGAAGGTGTATAACTCTTAGGAGCTAATAAATGGTATTGAGATTGAATGCCTAATGAGAGACATGACGTCTTTTTATATAGTGGTTATAAGATTTTTGAATTCTAGTAGGACTTTGAATCCGTAATGGCAGAGTTCTAGTAAATAAGAAAGACCCTGATTTACTTATCTTTGTAGGATTGAAAGTCTTAATTCATGTAAGATACAGCATCTTGAGTGAATTAAGATAAACCCCAAATAGGAAATAGATGTATTTGTATTTTAGTAGGATTCTAGGCCCTTAAAGGATATTATGGAGCAATGGGTCTGGCCTTAGGTGGGCTAATGGTGATGCCCAATATAGAGAAAGATCGGGTTTAGACCGTGAGTCTGGCTCATGACATGAACTTTGACTTAGGCCCAACCAGAATTGGGCTATAGCCTTGGGCCTACATAGTAAAAGTTACTTGCTTGAGCCTCAGATGATTTTTGACCTATACACTTATTATTTATTGCTATTTTTTGCCAATCTCTTTATGTTCAAGTAGAGATACCATGCCCAAGAGAAAAAAAAAAAAAAAATTTAAAAAGCACACAATAAATTATAATATAGTGCAAATGCTATATAAATTGTGTTAAACTATATGCTCTCACTCACAGCCAAATTCCTCATTCTTCATTCAGTGTTCCTAATTAGGTGTATATTTAACTCTTTTCTCTATAAAAAATCCTTGTCGTATTGTCTATATTTGCTTAGGATATTCTATTATTAGTACTTCTAATTAAATACTCCATTTGAGAGGGAGAAAAAGTTTAATTTAGAATTGTACAGCTCATAAGTTTTGTTAGTGAAGAATCAAAATCAGAACTGCAACTGGAGAATCTGCCGCTGGAGAATTGATTTTTCTGTGACTGTTTTCTGTGCTGGAATCTGGCTGCTACTGGCATGTACTGACATCTGGAAATTTACTGCACAACGGTTCTGATAACGGCAAAGTTAAAATTTAAATTCTTCACTGTGTAACGGTTCTGAACAAACGGATTCTGTCACATGGACATTAGTTCTCTTAATTCCAACAGCATCATTTCATTACACACTGAAAGTAAAAAATTTTAATAAGAGTAAACGACATTTTCCCACCCTAAGTTTAGCGAACGACAGTTTAGCGAAAAGGCAAGTTTCAACCTTGCTTTCATAAATTCCAAATTATTACCCCTAAATTCACACATATTTTTTACTTCTGACACAACTGTAAAACACGTTATTACCATATTGCTTTTATTTTTTATTACACCACCACCCAATCACCATCACCATCACCACCACCATCCAGCCATCACCATTCACCACCACCCACCACCACCTTTCAACACCATTATGACCGAAACCCCCGAAGTCCCCACCACCACCCACCACCTTTCCACTCATCCACCACCATGGCAATCCCTCTAAACCCCAAAGCCCCGCCGCCAAACAACCAACACCAAATCACTCACACATTCAGCCACAAACCAACCCAAAAAGCATCACCAGATCACTCATAAATCCAGCCACAAACCCATCCAAAAACCACCACCAAATCACTCACAAATTCAGCAGCAAACCCAAGCAGAAACCACCACCAAATAAATAACAAATCCAGCCACAAACCCATCCAAAAACCACCACCAAATCACTCACAAATTCAGCAGCAAACCCGCCCAAAATCCACCACCAAATCACTCACAAATTCAGCTATAAATCCATCCAAAAGCAACCACAAACCGAGCCACAAACCCACCCAAAAACCACCACAAACGTTGGGTGGCAACGCGGGAGTTTACCTAGGAGAGAGAAATGAAACTGAGGTTTTGTTGAGAGAAGAAGAAGGAAAAAGCAGCAATCCAAATCTGGCCACAGCGTGATGGCCTTACGGCGGCCAAATCCAGTCGCCTCGGAGCCTATTCCGACAAGGGAGAAAAGAGAAGAAGAAAGAGAGTAGGACGAAGAAAAGAAGAAAAGAGAGGAGGAGGAGAAGAAGAAGAAGAGGAAGAAAAAAAAGAATGGGTGGAAGAAAAAGAAGAGGCGGCAGTGGTAGAGTGATGGTAGGTGGTTAACCGAATATGGGAGACAAAGGAGGGAGAGAGGGGGTTGGGACGGCAGTGGTGGTGATTTGAAATGAGTGGGTTCAATTACTACTTTACCCTTTAACTGTTACCAAAGATAATCTGAAATTTATAAAACCAGGAGTGAGAACCTGTCCTTTTTTTAGCTAAACCTTGGGTGGCAACACGTCGTTTACTCATTTTAATAATATAGATCAAGCTCCAGGGCTTGGCATCTTCTTCTTACTGTTCTTACTTAGAAAAAGCACAGATCCTACAGTCTATAAATCTTCATTTTGTTTTGTTTTGTGAATGTTGAGTGGCTGAGATCTTTTACTGAAGCAAGTCATATGGATTGCCACCTCAGTAAATGCAGTTTTTAAGATTAAAGTTGCTGGGTTTCGGCTGAAGTTCATCTTCATCATTTTGTAATCTTCAAATCAACGGCTAAGATGCTGTAAATTTTTTGTTTCTTTGTGAATCATTGGTGTTTCTTTGCTGGAGTTACACGGATTGCCAAGGTGGACTCAGCTTTAGTATACAAGCAGTCCAATAATTCTTTGTAAAAGAAGTTAGAAAAAATGAAATTAATAAAAGTTCAGTTCTGAATTTTTTTCTGTTATCTCTCAAACTCATCTGTTTGTTTCTCGGGAAAGTACAACAATTTTCCAGTTTCTCTTTTCATTTGATCCTAGGACTCTTTCAAGTTTGAGAATATGAACACTGCCTTCCCTCTCAATAAGTAATTAGAATTGTAAAATTTTATTCGTACTTTAACTCCTTGCGTAATATTAAAGAGAATAAATGGTTTTGGCAAAGGTTGTTTGCTAGTTTTGTTAAAGAGTATTGTTAAGTACACAAATTATTTCTTATAAAATGATGTTGCAATTCGCATATCATCTATTTTATTTAATTTATTCTTAATTTTAAGTTACCAAATTAAGTAATGTTATGCTTACAATTGAGTCATATAACTTAGTTATATAAACAGACAAAAAACAAAGGATAAAGTGATCATTTTACATAAAATTTATATAATTTTTATCTGTTTGTAAGATTCAATTATAAACAAAATATTATTGTATCAAATTATAGTATAACATATCAATTCCTATGAAATGAGTTTGTATAAGAAGTTTACAAGGTTGTTATACCTGTTTATAAAGGATAATTTGTATGATTGGCATTACTCTGTTAAAAAAATGTAAACAGACATACTTTGTATAATCAATAGATTTTATTGCAACCATCATATATAAGATTCCTATAGATTCCTTAAATCACCAGTAGAGATTTCTATTGTATGGTTAGACGAATAATACTCCATGGACAAATTTTTTATACAAACTCGTCCATACAAACTAACGAATTTTAATGTGATTAGGTGATTTTGAATAGGAGATAAATTAAACAATTAGAGTAAATGATAAATCAAATATACAAAATTGCCACATTAATTTGTATGATTAATTTGTTTATATTGCATTATTCATGGATCAACTACTTCATATTTTCGAAGAATATATTTCATATATAGAATATGGAATTTAAACTTTAGAAAATCAGTCACATGGTCAATATTTAACTCATTTAGATCTAACAAATATAATGTCGGCAATAATTTAAGGTCTAATTATTGAAGTTTTTAATTAAGTACCTACCAGTGCTACCACTATGAGAAAAGAAGAAGTAAGAAAATTTAATATATATGGTAAACGA